TTCCCCGGTAGACCGAACCCAGGTGCCTGTGGTTCCTGCCCGCAGTCCTCGTTGCTCGGATTCAGAAGGTGCTCCGCTGCAACTGCCGCACCGTCAGCCGGCTCTGCCGCCTGGGTTTCAAATGGAAACTTCCGGTCGCCGGGTGGGCGAGGCTGCGGCGCGAGCCCAGTAGGCGGCCACGTTGTACGGTCGGCCGTGCACTGGGCGGCGCCTTCGGAGGCTGCCATGCTGTACGGAAAGTTTGAGCGGAGGCGCGAGCCTGAGTTTCCCTTCACTCGGTGATGGTGGAGTCCCTGGGTCTGGGCGGGGGAGGGGAGTGGTGCACTTTGCGGACCTGAACGGAGCTGTGAGCCACCGGCGTCACATTCCGCTTGGGACGCAAACGCAGTCAAGTTTAGAGTCCATGTCACAATCCTCTTTGTTTGGTCTGTGATGGTCAGGGACATTGCATGATGCTTGATTGCCAGGCTGCAAAGGGTTCAATGGGCATAAAACTACACGTTACAGGGTCGAGAGTGGCAGATGAGGTTTGAAGACGGCCCGTGGGCTGAAATACCACAGGCACCAACCCGGGCATGTGCCCTGACCAGGAATCGAACCACGACCTCCTGGATCCTAGGTCCATGCTCAGCGGCTGAGCCACGCCTGGCCGGGCAGATTTTATCTTAAGAGTAATGGGAAGTTATTGAAGTATTAGAGCAGGAGAGTATTCTTCAAGTTATATTTTAAAAAGCTCATTCTGGGTACTCCAGAGAATGGATCGAAGGGGGCAAGAGTGGAACTAGGAAGGCACCGGGGAGGCTACTGTAATCAAGTGAGAGGAACGGTGGCTTGGCCATGGTGGTGGTGGTATTCATGGAAATGAAGAGACGGACTCGCAGAACTCAGTGCCAGATTGGCAGTGGGCAGGGAGTGGAGGATAAGGGAGGGGGAATCTTCAGGATGATTCCCTGGCTTGAATAACTAGGTGGACAGAGTCACTATTTTGTGTTGGGGGAGACCGAGCATTTAATTTTGAACATGGTAAACTTGAAATGCCTCTGAGACGTTCAAGTGTTTAAACTGTCAGGTAGGCAATTGAAAATGTAGGCTTTGAGCCCAGAGGAGAGTCTAGGTTGGAGATACACTTTTGGGAGTTATGGGTCTAGGGATGCAATTAAACCCATGATATTGGATAAGATCACCAAGGGAAGAAGTGTACAGAGAGCCTTAGGGCCAAGGACAGGGACAGCAGCATTTAGAAGTTGCAATAAGGAGGTGCCAGCCAAGAAACACAATAAAGATGGGCCAGAAAGGTGAGAAGGAAACAAAAAAAAAGGGTGGTATCCTAGAAGCTAAGAAGGAAGAAGTGATAAACTGCTGAAGGAGTGAAGGAGGGAGTGGTAAACTATTGAAAAAAACTTAAAGGGTAAGCGAGATGAAAAATAAAAAGGATCCATTTAATTTAGCAACAAATAAGTTATTGAAGAGTATAGGATGAGAAATTCTGGTGAAGTGTGAGTGGAAGTCATGTTGGAGCAGGTTGAAGAGTACATGAGAGAGAGAAGCAGAGATGGCAGGTACAGACTTGGTTTGTGAATGGAGGAACAGGTGAGCAGTAACGAGGTGGATTGGGGGGCTCGTCTTGAAGGTGCAGATACTAGTTGCTACATGTGCTGTTGGGAATGAGCCAGCTGAGAGGAAGAAAAGGATGCTTTCGAGGGGAGAGATGAGCAAGGAGCAAAGTCACAGAGAAAGAGGGAAGAAAGGTGGGATCTAGAGCAGCATCTTCAAATTCTTTTGTTCACATACCCCCACAAGACAATAAAACAAAAAACAATGTACCCTATTACCTATTTTTAGTTGATGCCTAAATGTTTTCGTAATTTTAAATATTTGTAAAGGACATATGCTTTCTACCTGTTATATATTATGTATGACCTTTATTCATTTCTAAAACTTTTTTCTTTTGGTATTTCATTTTGGATAATTTCTATTGCTATGTCTTCAAGTTCACTAATCACTTTCTGCAGTGTCTAAAGTATTTTTAATTCCATCCAGTGATTTTTTTTCATCTTGGACATTTTAGTTTTCATCTCTACAAGTTCAACTTGACTATTTTAAAAAATACCTTCCAAGTTTCTACTTAGCTGTGTGAATATATGGGATACAGTTACAATAACTGTTTTGTTGGCTTTGTCAAATAATTCTCATATAAGTCTCAGTTCTGGGTTGGTGTCAATTGATTTTCCTCCTTACTATGGGTTATATTTTTCTGCTTCTTTGCATGACTGGTAATTTTTTATTAGGCCCCAGACATTGTGAATTTTATGTTTTTGGGTGCTGGTGATTTTTGTATTCCTGTAACTATTCTGAAGGTTTGTTCTGGGATGCAGTTACATTACTTAGAAACAGTTTGATCCCTTCAAGTCTTGCTTTTAATATTTATTAGGTGGGAAAAATCAGTGTTTAAACTAGGGAGTCCCCACTACTGAGCCAAGAACTTTTTGCAAATTCTAACCAATGCTGCATAAATTATGAGGTTTCCCAGTCTGGCTAATGGGAATAGGCAATGTTCCAGCCCTGTGTAACTAGTGGCTACTGTTCCTTCTAATCATTTTGGGTGGTTCTTTCCTTGGTCTCAAGTAGTTTCCTCACATTTATATGATCAATGCTCTGTGGAATGCTCAGGGGGGCCCTTTGCAGATCTCCAGAATTCTCTCTCTTTGTACCTTTCTTCTATTCACTATTCTGTCCTGAGCACTCTAGCTGTTTTGGTTGCCCCAAACCCTGAGCTGTCTCCTCATCTCCGGAAGTCTGCATGGCCCTGCCTGGGGTCTCCCTCTCTGCAGTGTATCCTGCTTCTTAAGCAGTAAGCCGGGCAATTATAGGGCCCACTTCATTTGTTTCTTGTCCATTAGGGATCACTGACCTTTGTTGTTGGATATACAGTGTCATGAAAAGTGTTC